TAATAATGAGGTGTCATTTGAAATTAAGCTGTAGAAATCTGTGGTATTTTCATAATAAGGAGCTTATTTCTAATATGATTGAAATTAGCCCCCCACTGTGTGAAGTTGTCCAACGAGGAGGCGCAAACTGTTGCCGGTCCTCTGAGCTCCCTGAGCCCGTGGAAGCGCCCCTGGCAGCAGTGTAGTAAAACAGGAGCGCCCCTCCTCTCCATCGCCTTACGCCGAACCAGAACCATTCATCTCTCCCCTCCTTCAGGCTTCACATCCGGGTCATCCAGCAGGATCTGTCTCTTGCGTCTGTGTCTTGACAGCGAAAACGTTTCTTCCCGCCGCGCTGTACCGCAGCTCTCTGCCCGACCGCGCGGCTCGCAGAGCGGACACTGCGCCTGGCGTGGGCCGGTGATGATGGAGCCAGGAGCGCCGTGAAGCTCGGCAGGGATGAAGACGGTAGGAGGAGGCTTCTTTATGGGCTAGCCCGCGGTGAATAACTCACCTCCCTCCCCTCCTCCCAAAAAAATAAAAAAATTTAAAAAAAAACGATGTCGAAGAGCCTCAAGAAGAAGAACCACTGGACCAACAAAGTCCACGAAGCGGTGATAACCCGGGGGAAGGACGGGGAGCTGGGCTTCGAGCTGAAGGGGGGCGCTGAGAACGGCCAGTTCCCCTACTTCGGCGAGGTGAAGCAGGGGAAGGGGCTGATCCAGAGCGGAAAGCTGGCCCAGGATGAGCTGCTGCTGGAGGTCAACGACATGCCGGTGGCCGGGCTCACCACCCGGGACGTGCTGGCCGTCATTAAACACTGCAAAGACCCGGTCCGCTTCAAATGTGTCAAACAAGGTGAGCTGTTTGCATTCTTTTACATGTGCTGCTTTGATTCAGAGGTTTCAGTTGAAAGGGGGGTGGGGGGGCATATGCTCCGACCTGTTTGTTGGTGATAATGGGTCCATTTCAACAGAAATGATTTTTTTTTTAATGTCAACACATTGTTTACCAGTGTCTCAGCCTGGAAGGGGTGCGTCCTGACAGGCTGAAGATACCACATCCTGCTGTCTTCTGCCTCCTCTCAACACAGGCCTTGGATGGTGCTCAGATGTTCTCCTCCTCGCTGCCATCCACTCCCACCAAAACCCAGTGCCTGCCAGTCTGTTTGCACATGTTCCCACCTCGGTTCCCTCTGCGGCCACTTTCTCCTCCAGCTGGTGTTTGGCTCTTATGGCGTGTATTTATGAGTCTGTGATGTTTCTGAGCACAAAGCGTGGGGGTTCGTGCCAACAAATCTGGAATGAGTGACCTGCTTCTGTCAGCCGGCATAAAAGCAGAACGTAAAAAGTACGAGTGGAGGAGATATTTATCATTCATCACGCCATCCCCGGCTCAGTTTAAAGTCACGACGAGTGACTGAAGGTAAAGCCTCTTGTTTCTGGGATGGGAGTGCAGCGAACAGATCAAGCTGGTTTTGTTGATTTTGTTGTTGGACTCTGCAGAGAGTTTGCTCACAGATCCTTGCCTGACTCGGTCTCTCCACATCGGCTGCATCAATGTGATTGATTACTGAGCCCGAGCTGCTGACAGAGTAGGGTGTTGTGACGTGAAGAGTGGGGTTAGACACTAATGTAAACATAACGGACAGGTCTATTCTGTCCCAGCTTCTCTTATCCATTTAAACATGAGCGTCTCTTGGTGTTGAACCACCCACACCACTAGCTCTCTCATTTTCCGAGAGCATCCTTGAATACTCTGCTGTTTTTTTTTTTTTTGCACAGCTTGTCCTCTTCGTTCATTTTATCTTTTTCCTCTTCTCACTGTCATATCTGACTTGCATCCATTGGTGTGTATTTATGGTGGACAGCTGCTGACACACTCATGGCYCGCTGAGGAATCATCCAGAAGCGGTTCGAGATGAACAGCTCTGAGGCCACATGCAGGACCCCCCTAAAAAAAAAACCCAGATGAAAGTCCTGAGTCTGAGTATACAGTCCTGTCTCAACACGCACATTTAAAGAGTCTATTTCCAGTTGAAACCCAGCATCTGACCCTGAGGGAGCAGAGCAGGCTGAYGGACCAACAGAGCAAAGCAGCAAGCCTGACCTGTGAATCACACAGTTTATCTGCACTCATCAGAGGTTTCTTTTTAGGGAGTTTAGTGTAGTCTGCCTGGAGAGCTTTGTTATATTGTCTTAGGAGTGCATTTTACAGGTTTGTAATATAGTTTGCTTTAGATTAAAGCTACAACAGACATATTATGACCGCTTCAATGCATTATTTTTCTGCTCAAATCCTCTGTGTCGTGTCTTGTCACGCAGCTTTGAAATAAAACGTGAAAGTTCAGCACCAAATCACGAGGCACAATCAGAARCCGTGTCCTGTCACTTTTAGCAGGGGTTTGTCAAACCACAAAACTTAGAAAAACAATGGGATTTTGGTGATACACATGAGAACTCTCTTTGGAGCTCTACAGCTCAGACAGTAGARCCATCGTTAAAGGTTTAAAATGCTCCCAGAAAGATTAACTTTTCATATCTGAACTGGCATTTTGATATATTTGACAGTTTTATACAGTTTTATGCTTTTTACAGGTTTTTCCACTGGATATTCAGCCGACAGTTGATGATGTCGAACACTAACTATTGAATTGTCTGAATTAGTTGAGATATTTGGAAACTTTTAAAACTCGTGTACAAATTATGCATCAAAAAGTACGGTAGCCACTTTTTGTCTTCTTTCACTCCGTGTGTTTCTTGCTGCTGGAAGTTGTGATTTATTTTTCTTAAATCCCACCAGAATACAGAAAGTGCTCAGCTAGACTTTCGTAGACTTGTGTTATATTTGAGCTCACAATATTCTATTGAAACAGGAAGTGGATCAGGTCTTCTTTTGTCGTATCTCCTACATAAAACAGTATAGAAAGATAAAAAATACATGACCATCGGAGCTGTCTGCTCATGGATTAAGAATTCTTAAACATAACTTGTAGTTTTCACACAGCGATTGTCAGTTTGAGACCCACTTTTTAGTCTGTTTCTGTCTGCTTTTCACGAACTTGGCAGTCAGGGAGTGAGAGGCACAGGTATGTGGTTACCATGGCAGCAGCTTTGATTTGATTTGATTTTGATTTATTTGTTTAAGATTATTAAAAATCAAGCCTGACTCAGCATAATTGCTGTTTTACAGCAGGTTCCTGTTCTGCAGCACATAAAACACTCAGAATTACAGCATCACAATCACTTCATTATACACCATAGACACAAAGACAAACAAGCATAACAAATTTCAGGAAGGCAGCATTTGCAAAATAGGACGTCTAAATACAAGCACAACAGAAAGTGTCCAGCAGATGGCAGACAAGATTCTTCTTAAAGGGCTGCAGTTTTGAAATGGACTTTATGTTTTGAGGAATGTCATTCCATGCTTTAGTATAAACATAGAAGAAAGACCTCTGGYCGTAACAGTTTTTAAAAGTTGGTAATATCAGTTGTCCTTTTGTAACAGATCTAGATGAATGACCACTTCCAGAATTTGATTTGGGCAACAATGCACAGAGAGTTCCATAATTGGCACCTTGGAAGATCTGAAAATATAAATTAATACCACTATACAAAACATAATTCTGAAAAGTCAAGGCATCAAATGAAAGAACTGTACAGTGATGAGTCCAACCAGGAAGTTTTTTATGAATTTTACTTTAACGTCTCTTTTGATTTTCTGTGCACTACTTGTACGACCCAGGCATCAAAATATGGGCAGTTTTTTCGCAGCTTACATCAGTGTTCCTCAGTCATGGTCCCGGAGGGCCACTGTCCTGCATGTTTTTATGTTTCTCTGCTTTGGCTCACCGGATTTGAATGAATGCATGATTAACAGGCTCCTGCAGAACTTGAAGAGCTGCCTGAGAGCGGGAAAGGAGCTAAAACATACAGGCTAGCGGCCCTGCAGGACTGGGATTGAGCTTAGATCATCACAGAGTTGATGTTATTTTGGGAAGCKGCTGCTGTGGCATCCTTCAGAATTTCTTCAGCTTTTCCGGTTTAGTCACTGCTGTTGCATCATGGAACAAAATGATTTAAACAACTAATAAAAAAAAGACAACGTCTCAAACAAAAAGTTCAGTGTTACAGAAACTTCACCGAATTACCCTACCAGCGTACTGACCTCATCGGCTGCAAACCTTTCATTTGAAGACCTCGATTCACAGAGAGAGCTGAGTCCTGGTTGATTTTCACCATCTTCATAAACTACATTATTTCTATAACAATGCAGYCAGCTCTGTTTCTGCTTGTTCTTCCACCAAGTGATCCCTGTTCTTACTAAACTTCTTCTTTCAACTCTTCGGCCTCTGGTTCCCACTCCACTCTCAGTTTTGAGCATTTAACAAAGCAGCCACATGTTCTGGCAGATTCTATTTGTAAGAATTCTGCCTTTAAAGACACTTTTAATTTAGTGATGGAGCGACTATGTTGTGTTCCTTTTATAGCTGTAGTCCTCCTCTCAGAGCCAGGTATAAGCACAGCAGAAGAAGAGTTAACAGGAAGTACACTCTTTACGCATAAAGCTAATTTAAATTCCAGCTTGTTTGTGTGTGCGTAGGATTAAACTGATAGTGTTACTTTTCATTAGGCATTCAAAGCAGTATTATTATCCCGTTGCACCGTAATGAACAGCTGACCCTGAGGTGGAACCTGTTCACTATTTTTATTTTGAAACAAATGGGTTTATTTATGGAGCCGCTGCGTCCTTCAGTCTCGTTTTACAGGTCGTGGGATGACAAATCTTTTTCTTCACAACGTCAGATGCGCGTGTGTGTTGTGAGGTCTGTAATGTGAGCATCATGTGCTGCATAAACACCTTTTWAAATCAGTTAGTCCATCAGTCATCCACACACATGGTTTGTTTGTTCTGCACTGGATTATTTAAATATGATGGCGGAGTTGCAAAAGAGAAAAAAAAAGCGTGCATCTTGAGAGGGTTGCTATTTATCCCCATCCTGTTTGTGTGTTTGCTTCAAAGGTTTTAGCTCTCTGTCTTGTAAATGGATGCACTTCAAATAGATCAAAACTAATGACTGTTAACGTCACCAGATAATCAAAACATGTCTTCATTTTAATACGAGCAACGTTTTGGGTCAATTTACATTCTTTAGGGCTTTTATTTTATGCTGAAAGGGTTTCAAAACATCACACTCTGAGAAAGTAAATCACAGAAAATAGTTTTTAAATTATAGTTCCTGTGATTGTTTATCTTATAGCTATATACATTTTTTCTAGAATAAGTCTGATCATGAGTCATGGCCTTGTTTCTGGTTATTTGTTAGAAAGCAGATCTGTCAGCGGCGTTCATCTCTTCATCAGCCGCTGAGTGCAAACGGCTGCTCGGTTCAGTGAAGCAGATTTCTAGAAGCACCATGAAGATCATAACTGCAGAGAGGTGTTGGAACAGTACAGAGAGAGGTGTGAATAAAGTGTGTGTGTGTGTGAGAGAGAGAGAGAGACAAAGTGAAGAGGAGAGGTGGAGTTAGGAGTATTATAAAGACGTGAGCAAAAGATTTCTTGGTGAAATTTCATCTCGTGTTCTGATTAGTTCTGGTAGATTTCTCCTGAAATCGAAATAAATTGATTTCCAAAGTGTGACTGCATACGGGACAAAGTGACATCTTAAATTAATCATATCGTGAGGTGGCACCGTGGAACAGTGGTCGGTGACGTCGCCTCACAACATCAAAGTTTTAAGTTTAAGTCTCAGATTTGCAATTTTTTTCCCCGTGGCTTCAGCCATCAAGTCTTTTGTCTGTTTGTTAACAAAATATCTCATGAACCGTTTGACAGATTTCCAGGAAACTCTTA